TTACGGGCTAACCCAAATGTACGGGTAACGCACGGCGTGATCCGTGGAGCGATGAACGAGGGCTAACATGGGTCCCGCGAAATCCTTTTTTTGTTTTTTTTTTTTTGTTTTTTTACGAGGAGGGTCATAGCAAAAACTATGCAAATAACAACAATCAAGTCATAAGAAACAAGATGAGGAGTATCACGGCAAAAAACCTTACAAATGACGATAATTGTTGGCTTTTCTGAAAACATAATTAAAAGTTATCATTTAATTTTTTATAATAAGATCTTTAATTTTTGTGATAGTTTCAAATAGAGGGTGATTATTATTAAAATTATAATGCATGAGCAAGAGAAAGGGAGAGAGAATTAGAGTAGATATTAACTTTAAAAAATTACTTTTTCAATAAAGGTTGAGCCCTTTAAGGATATCCAGAAGTTCAATAATAGTGTTAGGATGATAGTTAAGGCATTTAGAAAAGCATTTTATCCAATTCTTTTTTTCATCATAGATAATGCTTTCACAAGTAGTGGCTTCATTTAAGTTAATAGAATTACCAATGTCAAGTTTACCCTAGCCAAGTTCAAGGAGTGTCATTTGGCTAGAGATCCCCAAAATCCATTGTCTTTGCTACATTTTTTGCTGTTTTCTTCTTTATTACTTCATTTAATCTAAAATATAAATAGTTTTTTTAAGAAATCTGTATGCTAATAAAATTTTCATTTTCATAAAAAATATATATTATTTTTTATTCATAATCTCAATTATAAATGCACTCCATGATAGGTGAAAAATACATTTACACAAAGGTCTATATTAATAAATATGAGAGGTAAAATGAAAAAAATATTTTTTATATGTATTAAGTTATTTATATTTTAAATTAAGATTAGTTGAGGGGAAATGTTTATATTTTGAACAGAAGGGAGTAATTATCAATAAGGATCTAAATCTAAATTAAAAACAGTAAATTTGTGTGTTTAAATATATATAACTTTGTAGTTTGTATCCATGAGAATAACGCATTCGACGAATCGTGACTTTCAGGGGAGTCTTCCAAATATGACTCATTCTTATTTATTCGTTGGTCGTATATTATTATCCCTTCACCAGTCAAAAAAGAAAGACGTAGAAGCCCATGTAAACCGATGCCTGTAATTTCCAAATGAGAATCACGCATTTTCCTATGACATAGTTTAATTTCTAGTTATCTTCTTTTTTTTTTGGAAAAATAATTAAATTGTGTTTGCCCGCTTCGTTGTGGTTGAATATAATACATGTTGACCCCACTGTCAAGTTTCATTAGTGAGATGGAAAAGGCACCAAACAAACAAACAAAAAAAAAAGAAGTAAACACCCTGTATTATATTCTTATCCCCTGAAGCTATTATGGTCAAGGTTTTGTTGCTTTTTGGCCTTTGAGGCGAATCAAGGTTGCGATAAAATCATACTTTGGCTCTAATTTTCCACTCTCTTCTACTCACACCTTCATGCTTTCAAGTAAGAATGATCAAACTTTAACCAAAATTAAAAATCGAACGGAATTTTGTTATTTAATTTGATCTATTAAGTTTTTTTTAATATTTTGATTTATCGATTTGATTTGATTAATAAAATTTAAAATTAAATAGACCAAATCAATCGAATTATCGTGCATATATATAATTTATTAATTATTAATTTATAAATTATATTTAGTTGTTAATTACTTTATTTTATTTTATTCTTTTTAATCGTACTTAAATAAAAGCAAATATATAATTTGATAAATTACAACTCTAACCCTTCATTAAAATGGGATACTATCACTTTAGAAGCCCAATTTTATAAATAAGCCTTGTTTATTTCAGTAAAAAAATAATAAAATTGGCTCAAGTCCAAGTAACCTAGACCCGAATTAACCAACCAAATCGAATTGTTAAATTTCAGTTCAATCCTTATTCGGTTCAATTCAGTTCATCTTTTTAGTACTGTTCGATAGATCGATTTTACACATCTTGTTGTTAAATTGCCCACCCTTTCTTTCAAGTCCACATTTTGTGCTTATATCTTTTCCAGTACCACCCATTTGCCATATATGACTAAATAATAATTGTGTTTACATGAATTTTTTATCATTTATTTTTATTAATTGTTTAAATGATTTTAAGCTTATTAAAACTTCACCCATGTTGCAAAATTTAGGGTATGGAAGCTTTTTTACCCATTCTTTTTATAGAACTTGGAAATGAACGAGCTTGATGCTCCAGTTCAAAATCTATTTTATTCTAAAGTTAATTGTCTTTTTAAATTTAGTATTTATTGATAAGGTTCAAAATTGAGTTAGAAAGCCTGTTTTATTTTCAAGGATTATTGAACATTATAGATTCTAAACTTTTAAAATGTGCAAAAACTCTCTCAACTTTTAAATTTCAAGTGTCTGAAATCTTGTCGTTAAGTTGAAAAAAATAACAGTTATTTTTAAAGGATAAGATAAGTGCCACATCAAAGTACGATTGAGCTCTACAATTATAAAAAGTAACGGTCATTTTGTTAACTTAACGACGAGATTTCAGGTGCTGAAAATTTAAAAGTTGAGAAGAGTTTTTGCACGTAAGAGTTTAAAATGTTATTTATGTAATAATTTATGATTTAAGATGCTCATTAACCCTATCTTTAAAAATTAAAATTTATATTATAACATTGTCCATGCTTTAAAGTATAAACTAAATTTTATAAAATCCAAAATAAAAACAAACCTTGGATTTAAAGCACAAACACATGTTCTAAATTTTAAATTAAGTATAAAGATATAAGACACCATAATTTTTTGAATTTAAATTAAATACAAGTTTAACTGGACCAAACCTTTTTTTTTCCCCTTAAAAATAAACAGGCAAGACTAAGGAGTCCCTTTATACTAAAATCTCAATTTTCAAAGCCTGGGGTTTAACAAAAACGAGATTAGGCGAGTAGATACACAAGCTCAGCTCGTATTTTTGGTTGTATATACCTCTTTCCCTTTGTTCTTTTTTTTTTTTTTCCAATCAATAGTTCAAGATCTGAACAAATTATATCTGATGCTCCAGTTTAGATATAATTTATTTTATTCCAAAATTAATTGTTTTTTAAATTCAATATTTATTGATAACGCTCAAAGCTGGGCTAGAAAGCCTGTTTTGTTTTGGAAAAATTAAGTTTTATATTAGAACATTGCCCATGCTTTAAAATATAAGCTAAATTTTATAAAATTCAAAATAAAAACAAACCCTCGATTTAAAGTACAAACACATATTCTAAATTTTAAATTAAGTCTAAAAATATGAGATACCATACTTTTTTGAATTTAAAAATAAATACAAATTTAAATGGATAGATTGAACCCTTCTTTCTTAAAAACAAACAAGCAAGACTGAGAAACCTCTTCAATATCAATGTTCAAAGACCGAACTTAAATGGACAAACTTAAATGGGTAGCTAGACAAGCTTAGCTCATATTTTTTACTTATACCTCTTCCTCTCTGTTTTTTTTTTTTTAATCTAATCATTAGTTCAAGATCTGAAGAATTTATATTGGTTTCTTATAAATTTTTTATTAACATATTAAATCATGACAAAGGATAAACAATCAAATTTAAACTTTTAACAATTAAATCGGACAGTTTAAAACTTCAGTAACACACACACACACACGCGAGATCTGTGAATTGTCCAAATGTTAAATCACATGGTCAGAAAAGATAGAAGACAAACTGTATATAATTAGATCGGGGAACTTAACTTCCCATTGTAGATATCTCTAAGGATTTGCTTCCCCACAGAAGTTAAACTCGAAATAGTAAAGAAAAAAGAAGATTAAAAAAAAAAGGAAACAAATTACAAATAGAAATTGATTATTATGATATTACTTGTCACTCGAAAGCACAACTTGCAAATGAAGCAAAGGGATATTGCATCAGAGCTCCGCATTCTCTTTTGTCCCCTACACTCGAGAGATGGCATGACTAATTTTTCACACTAAATAAAAATATACATTACTCGATAAAAAAAAAGGTAACATGCTAGCTATCTTCGTGCATTTTCTGAGCTTTTCATTTTTGTAATGTGCACGAAAATAATATTTAATGCAATAACACAATATTCACCTAAATAACAAGGATGCGGTGGAATGTAAACAGTGCTAAGGTTTTAAACCCATGTTGCATATCTCTCTCTCTCTCTCTCTCTCACACAATGCTATTTCCTAAACACAAGGAATATGAATGGAAATCAAAGAATTTTGACTCCTTCCAAAAATAAAATTAATTAACTGATAATTACAACAACTTAATAAATTGTGGCTTTGTTACCTTCCCAACTCCACGCCAGTAGACAAAAGGGGGATTATTGTGATATTTTCCCAAAGCCTCCGTCCACAAATACATGGTCCAATAGAGGCATGGACAGAGAAGGAAGACTGACATATAGAGAAGAATGGAGGTGCTATCAAAATTTAATTTATCAATATACATAGAACGTGCATATTTAATTTAACAAGGACACACATGTATTCATCTTTAATGTCGAAGTTTCTGGTTCTACTGGCACAAAACTCATACGTTTTTAGGTTACAGGTCCATTTATTTGCTTGTGTGTTTATTTGGACGCGCGTGTCATTAAATTGTTAGGTTAGTATAATAGTTAAACAACGTCAAATCGAAACAGCAACTCATATTTTGGTCATATTATATTGACATATTGACGCTTTATAATCTCAAGAATAGCAATCATTTTAAAAAATAAACATAATATAAAGTTATAAATATATTTAATTTAGGGTTGTTCAGTGTAATTTGCTTAAAACAAATTGAATTTTTTATTTCCCAGTGGAAAAAAGTTATTTACGGCGTTAAGGAGACAATGAAGCATTAATTAAGGATGATAATTGCGTCCCCTGAATGTTCACTTTTTCTTTTTCTTTGTGTTTTTTTAATAAACAATTTTTCACTTTTCTTCCCTCCCCTGCCTCCATAAATACCACCTCCTTCCTCTGTTTTAATCCTCAGGAACATATACACACCCTGCAATCTCAAGAGCCAGCATCGATTCCAATGGCTCTCCTCACTTCCCTCGCCATTATTGTTTCCCTCATTGCTTCTCTAACCCTCACCCATGCTAAAATTCCCGGCGTCTACTCCGGCGGAGAGTGGCAGAACGCCCACGCTACTTTCTACGGCGGCAGTGACGCCTCCGGCACCATGGGTACTCCATTTCTTCACCTAAACTAGAACAAAGCTCTAAGCTTTCCTACTCGAATGGCCGATTAAGTAAAACCCATTTCTTAAAAATTCTGCGAATTGTGTTGTATGTGCAGGAGGCGCGTGTGGGTATGGGAACTTGTACAGCCAAGGGTATGGGGTGAACACGGCGGCGCTGAGCACGGCTCTGTTCAACAATGGCCTGAGCTGTGGGGCTTGCTTCGAGATCAAGTGCGGCAGCGACCCACAATGGTGCCATCCCGGCAGCCCGTCGATCTTCGTGACGGCCACCAACTTTTGCCCACCCAACTATGCTCTTCCCAGCGACAATGGCGGCTGGTGCAACCCCCCACGGCCACATTTCGACCTCGCCATGCCCATGTTCCTCAAGATCGCCGAGTACCGCGCCGGCATCGTGCCCGTCTCTTACCGCCGGTACGTCCCTTCCCTTGCCCTTTTCCTACTTTACTCAGACGCCGTAGTCTCATCGTCCTTGTTTGTTTGTTAATGCTGTTTCTTGATCGAACTAACTGTTATCTATTAAATGAAGACCCAATTTTTTCCCTCCAATTTAACCAGAGTAAAAATCGTAGTATTCGATCTGATGATTGAAGATTGGACGAGTAATTTGTTAAATCGTTGCTTAGTGTTTTGTTCACGACTCTTCAGTACAACTTTAACACTTAACCCGGTCGAATGACTGGGCAAATCTTCAGCATTTGGTAAAAAACTAAGAAGTGAATGAGATTCTGCTGCATAGTTGGGCGTAGGGGTTATTAGTATAACTATAAAGTTTTGGCCTTTTGGGAGGAGATGATTGGTACAGCCGTGTGAACTCTGATCAAGTATCGTACAATTTGTGTCGTCGTAAAAGCTGAGCCGTTGATCTATGAAAGTGCAATCACTTCCCTTCTGTCCCACATCCATGTCAAAGAATCACGTTATTGATCGTGACCCCACCAAAACCCCACACAGAGAATCCAAGCCCTTGGTCTGAATCCAGCTCAGGTTTTGACTTTTTGACAAACGAACCCACACCACACCGCGTAATTACAGGACTCCCAAACCATCTCTCGAATCTTTATCTCGCCATCCTCATGCCTCGTACTCTGTACCTCGTCTGTTGTCACCGTGATGACCTTTTCAGAGCTTGATATCTCAATGAATAATAATGGTTCAACTTCATCATTATGTTACGGATCGTTTATTATGCAGGATACCTTGCCGGAAAAGCGGAGGGATAAGGTTTACGATCAACGGGTTCAAGTACTTCAACCTGGTTCTGATAACGAACGTGGCCGGCGCCGGGGATGTTGTGAGGGTGAGCGTGAAGGGGTCGAAGACGGAGTGGATGAACATGAGCCGTAATTGGGGTCAGAACTGGCAATCCAACGCCGTCCTGATCGGTCAGTCACTGTCCTTCAGGGTCACCGGCAGCGACCGGCGGACATCCACCTCCTGGAACATCGTCCCTTCCAACTGGCAATTCGGCCAAACCTTCACCGGCAAGAACTTCAGGGTCTGAGATCTCCGAACTTGCTCCCGCCGATTATATAAAATATATTTTTGGAAAAAAAAATCTTGCTTGCGTTTTTTTTTTTTCTTTGTCTTTTTGTTTTCTTCTTTTGGCTTTGGAATGTGGATACGCGGGAACGGCGAGGAGAAGAAAGGGGCAAAAAGAAAAAGAAAAAGTAGTACTGTAGTAGTACGTGGAGACGGCGAGGAAACTTTTTGACTTATATTAGTGTCTTTTTCCCCCCCCCTTTTCTTTTGGGAGTGGGAGGGATTGGGGATTGGGAAAAGTCAAAGTGAATTTTCAAGACGCTGAAGTGGCTGGCTGCTAATTTGTGAGCCCGCAGCTACGTTTATGTATGTTAAGAGAGACTCAGAGTCAATGCATCCCTTTTAGTCTCTTCTTTGAATGTGTTTGTGTATTGATTAGTTCTCTAATGCGAAATTTAGTTGTAAGTTCATAGCATTTACTCTTCAGTCTCCAGTTTTTCACTTCAACGTTTGCGTGGATGAAACAATCAAACAAATGGATTCACAAGGTTTTAATTAGTATAAAAATCACTTCCCAACGGGATGTTCCAGCTTGGGTTCTATAATGAAGATAAGGTTCTGGACGATGAATTGAGGAAGGATTTGACTTAATGTACCCTCACTAACGAGAGATAAATAAAGCAAAACTGAAAGTTAAAAGCATTTTATTTTATTTTTTTCAAAAAAAGATGAAGTTTTTCCTTTTAGAAACAAGTATTAAAAAAATAAAAAAAGATGTCATCACTGGTCCATTGACATTACTTAAAAACCTGTTTTAAGATCGGCAAACTCTTGTGTATGAAAATTGAGTGCCCATTATATTCATAGGGAAAAGTGGCATTAGATAAGGAGAGTAACCCTCCAATCACTATAGTCATTGGATAACCCCTTAATTTTCCACAGCTTTTGCGCGTCTATAGATAAGCAACGAACGAAGGGAATATTAACATTATTAAAACACAAGATCAAGTAAGGATGATTTTTTTGTCCGAACACTGCAAACAGGAACAAGTGGTGTTTGTTTCAATTTTTTTTTTTTTAAAATAAGTGGGGTTCATTTCATGATTTCTCAAGAGTTTTCTTGTTGGGCCAAGGAAAATATTTGGGCCTAGAGGGGCTACAACAGTGTTCCTTTTTTATTGGCGACGGTGTCCGTGAGTCCAGGATTATTCTAATGCAGCAATCATTTCGTTGGATTCATCTAGCCCTCTAATAAATATCAAGAGGAAAACAAAATCGATCACTATAATTTTATTTTTAATTTTTGTATTTTATTTATAATTTTTTCAGTCCTTATAAGGACTAAAAGTATTAAAATTAAAAAAAATGAAAGTAACAAATGTGATCTAATTTTGTTAAAATTATAGAAACTCAAAATACAGAAAAAAAAATTATAAAGAGTAAAAGTAAAACTCCATAAAATTATAGGAAATATCACTATATGAAACCTAGAACTTCACAGATCTTCACACAGAGTTCTGCACTTCTGGCAGATTTATTGGCAAAAGGCAAGCCGAGTTTGTCTCAGGATTTGGCAATGGAATTGCAGTCCATATTTTCAAGGCAGTGTAGGGTTAGATGCTACATGGCTTCTTGAGATCACGGAAGGCAGTCATCCTGCAGTAACAATATCATATTCTAATTAACCAGCTTTACGAATTAGATTCTGTTCCTTTGACAAATATTATTCCCTTTCATGTCATCAGTAATTAACAAACAGAAACACCGGACATATTTAATTTGTCCTGAAAACAATTTTTTATTTTTTAAAATATGAGAATAAAAAAATCTATTTAATAATATATTTTTTAAAACATTTTTTAAAAAATAAATATCATTTTAAAAAATAAAAAAATAAAAACAATTTTTAAGTGTTTTGAAATTATAATTTTAAAAAATAAGAAAAAATAAAAAAATATGTTTATTATTTTTTTATTTCCAAAACATCTCGTAACAATAAAATAAAATCAGTTTTAAACCACTCAATGACTCTGCCACTCTAGTTTTTGTAAAGCCCACAATATAATATTCTGTTGTATCATTCTTTGGCACACCCAAAACGCTAGCTTAGCCATTGGCTTTGTCAAAGGCATACCATACCAGAAGTTATCCAATATTTCTTCCATTCCTGTTTTCCATCATCAAGCTCTACACACACAGTCTCAACACCCGGTAAATATTTAACCAACCCAAATCAATTCTCTTCAAAATATAAACCAAATTAGAGTAAAAATATCTTTCCTCAAAATATAATTCGGCAATTTGCCCTTCCTCTTCGTCCTGGGATCATTATAGAGTATCTACCCTCAAATTATATTCAAGAAAAGACTAGCCGGCTGAAACTGACGAAAAGCAAGCAAGCAAACAAGAATCAACAAACACAAAAAGAAAATGTGCGATGGGATCAGTAGACGAGTGAGAAGAAAGAAACCCATCGTCTGTGGATACCATCCCTACGGTTGTCTGGCCGCTGCCTGATCACAACACACCACTAAGTCCCAGAAACAACCAGTTTTCTTCCGCTGAACAAAACCTGTTATCTGCAACTAAAGCGAGTGCTCTGATCAGGCTTTCTCTGTCAGCACTGAAGCTTCAGCGAGAAAACAAACCGTAGTCAAGTGTTTTCTCTAAGGAAAAACAACCAGTGCAAGTCTCCAGAAACCCTAAGGGAAATTTTCCCCCAAAAAAAAAAAATCAGAGGGGAGCGTGGAAGGTAGAAATCAGAAGAAATGAGGGCTCATATCAAGTGTAAATTTTAGAAAGATCCGTCATGGTAGGGAGAATTCAATTGAAACAGGGGGGTAGACATGAGGCCGAGTCGCCGAGATACCGAAGCCGAACCCTTCCGGCGAAGAGTGTCGGCGGCACCTTCAGGCTCCGTGGTCGGTCATCCCCATTCCCAGTTCCAATCAGACCCACTCAAGCCTCTCTCTTTGTAATCACAGCCCTAGAAATGCTGTACTCATCAGCCGCCGGGGCGCTTATATAGGAATAGGACCTCCTCCTTCGTTCTCTCTTCTAGGGTTTGGGTTTCCAGCGACCTCACAATTCTCTCCTCTCTCTCTTTCTCTAGACTATCGCCCCGCCATAAAATGGAAATTTAAAATTGGTAATGGTTTTAATTTTTTTTGCACAAAATTTAGCTTCATCCAAAATGCTATATGTTTTTAGCCAAAATTTATATACTTCACATACTTATATTAAAATTAAATTATGACATGTAAATTTTAATATATTAATTTAATTATAAAAAATAATTTATAAAAAATTTATATATTTTGATTTAATTGGATATAAGTATTTTAAATATAAAAGTTTAAATACATAAGTTTTTCTCATGCTTTTATTGTGAAAATGGGATAATTCAACAAATGTAAAATACTGCTTTCATTTTTATGAAATCTTATTATTAATTAAACATAATTTGTGATAAGCTGATTTATTAAAATGTGTGAGCCAATTTATTATTAAATTGAGCATAATTTGAAATCTTATTACTCTGACAAGCACTGTATCATGAAATCTGAGTTCATTTAAAATTAATTTTAATTGCTAAACTTTAAAATTTTTAAATTTAAATTTTTTATATAATAAACTATTTTTGTTAGAGTGATGGTTATAAGATTATATTTATTTTAAATTTATTTTTATTAAAATATTCATTTCCTTAAAATATAAAAAAAAATTATGTAAAATTTAAGCCGTCATGAAACTAGATCCAATGTTATTCATGTAAAACTAGCGTTGACTCTTTTAAAATAATTATATCACATACTCCCTCCATTTAAAAATATAAGACATTTTTTAAAAAGTTGAATGTTAAAAAATAAGGCATTTTTAATCTTTCAAAATGTAATCATTATTTTTTTTTTGTAAAAGTATCTTTATTAATGAATGACTTTGTATATATTGTAGGATATTTAATAGAGGTAAAAATAAAAAAAATAGGGTTAATTTGAAATAAGGTAACTACTTTATTGAGAGGTGGGATTTGGTTAAAAATATTTTATTTTTAAATGGAGGAAGTATATGTTTTCAAAATTATCTATATTTTAACTCAACCAAAAGCTCCTCCGTAAATGTTGCAAAATTATTTATCTGTTAGTTTTGTTTGTATAAAGGGAATAGATAAAACAATAAAAAAAGTAAAACTTCAAAATTCATAAATAAGTTCTTAAGTTCTTTTGGGTTAGTGATTTGAAGTTTTATCCACTAATTATATTAAAAAGGAATAAATGAAAAAAATTTCACTTGGCGAAATTATTCTAAAATCAATGAGCTGTTGTCTTTTCATCTAAAAATGCCAATTTCTATTTTATTAATTTCAATGTAAAAATAAATCATTTTTTAGAGGTGATTTTATCTGTATCCATTTAATATGTTTTTTATTAATTCAAGTTTTAACATATAATATATTTCTATTGAATGAACTGATGGAGTTTGACTTTATCTTACAATTCAAATTTTATTATTTTTAATATGAAAGAGTGTGCTCAATTCAATGGAAATGAATATGAAAAAGTAAACCTAAAAAAATTTGTGATATCATTGATTTTAAATTAGTTATTTTTTGTTGGTATTGGAGAAGGGAAGAAAAATATTCATCTTACAAGAAACTTACTTTTTGAATCTACAGCTTCAAGGGATTTAGGTTTGAAAAATACAAGATTAATAAATCTGGCACTCGTTGCCAAATAGATTTGGAGAATCTTCCAATCTAAGCCTTACTCTCTTTTGGAAAACATACTAAAACTCAAGTATATTAATTCTAGGGATGGATTCTCTCTCAACAAGCCTTATATTGATGGTTGGTTTTAGAAGGGCATTCTCAAATCAACTGATACTATCACATCCCATTTCTCTTGCAAGTAGGTAATGGTAGTCTGATCCCTTACTCATGGAAAATGGTGGAAACCTTTATATGTGATTTTTGCGCACAGACAACAACCTAATACAGTTTCTAGCCTCATTATCGCTTCACACTAGCCTTGGCAAAGGGTTAGGTGGAATCTCTCTCTTCTTAATGAAATACATAGGCTTGAGATTGTTGATCAAATATTGTAGATCCCCCTTTCTTTTTTTGATTCATTAGACAAATTGGTTTGGATGAATGATTCTTATACTATTAAAAAGGGGTACAAGAATCTCTCCACATTTCTTGATGCAGTCCATCTTTGTTATAGTGCCAACATCTTGTCTTTTCTTTGGAAATTGAACCTCTCTTACAAGACGTTGCTCTTTAGTTGGAAGCTTGTTCATAAAAATATTCCAACTAGAGACATACTTCTCAAGCATTATGTATTGGCATCCATCTACTGTGTTTTTGGTTGTGGTTGTGATGAATCCTTAGAGCACATTTTATGTGATAGCCCTTTTATTAAAGCCATTTGGTGTGGCTCATGTTCTATCCATTCTCATGTTATGTCTGCTATAGGACTAGTATAATGGATCATCTTCACATCAGAAGCATCATATCGTGATAATAAAATTCCAAAGCTTGAAGGAATCTTCCTTCTCCTTCACTTAATTTGGTTTAATAGAAATCAAGCCCTTTATGGGACTTTCAAATTTTCTTCATATCAAGTTATTCGAGACATTCATGGATAGCTAAGTTTCATCAGGAATGCTTGCCAACAGAAGCTAGCATTATCATCTTCGATAACATCCGACTCAAAAAGTTCAAAAATGAATAATTATCATCTTCAGTTTTGAATTCCTTCATAGTCAAGTCATCTCAATTTTCTAGAAATAAATGGATAATTAAGATCACAAAGTTCAAAAAAGGTAGGCTCATTGCTTGTGGATCTCAAGTCTTGTATAATAGTGATGAGTTGAGCAGGTTCATGATTTGAAAAGCTTGTCATAAGGATTTGGATTGGCTTGCCTAGGAGCAATTCTATGCTAGATTTACAATTTCATGGGTAGCCTTGATCACGCACACATTCTAGGTCACATCACCATTTCAACTTATAAAGGAAACTTAAGGCCTTTGGAGGAAAAAGTTGATTACTTTGCTCAGGATGTTTTCTAATTGCTTGGTTATTTTAATTCTATTTTGTTCGAGAAGCAACAGTTGCAATAGCCTATTGATTTTTTTCTCTGTAATTGCCATTTTTTATTATCTTTTGAATTGTAAGAATATTTTTATGCTTTTTAGTTAATATATTCATTTGACTTTCTTTCAAAAAAAATGAAAAGTCAAAGAAGCATGTAAAAAATTTAAAGAAAAATATCAATTACAACTAACAAATCTATTTATTAGCATGCTGCAATTTGGTTTTCCTCATGAGGTTTGAGCGAAGCACAGATTTGGGCAATTGATCCATACAATTCCCACTTGAAAAGCCTACAATGAAGCAAAATAATATACTGTTTTAGTCCAAAAGTAACATATTCGAAACAACAACAATAACAACCCAGAAGCAACCAAATCACTTTATTGTTTTTATGACAATCTTAGGTTAGTCTTTGATATCTCATATCTATGAAACACCAAAATACATAGTAACTTTAATGTCAAATAGCAAATAAAGTAAGAGTAAAACAAAGTGTAATGGTAAAGTAATTTAGACATAAATTCATTGGGTATCATTTGCTAATTTAATAGTTTCTTCCTCGATATTAAATGTTTTTACATAGAGAACAAGTCCAAAAACTTCTCCTCTCCTAATTTGCATAAAGGTATCTACATCAACTCTGATAGTTGGTTCAATAAAAAAAAAACCCTCATTTAAATGCTGTCAATAAATTTTAAAATTCACCAATCCTCTCATATAATGAAATAGCTTCAATCATGGGGGCATTTGGGAAATGAAAGCTTACCTTACAAAGATGCATATCTTTTAGGAGAAAGCTTCCAATCATGTTCCCATACACTTCATAGGTAGAGAAATGGACGAGATGCTTGTTATATTTTGAACGATACTTCGCCTAAAAGCTGTCAAATGATCAAATCAAATGAGAGGATGATGAAGAATACCAGATCATTGAAAGCTAAAAAAGTAAAATAACAAAGCATCATTTAAAAAAATGGAAAACTCATAATGCAAGCTAATCTCGTCAAATCGAAGGACCCATGAGTCAAAATCCCTTGGTGGATATGGAGTCACCAAAAGCTGGCCAACGGGGATGAAGAATGAAATGCAAGACAACGTGTGCATTTGAGTCTAAACAGAGGAAGTGGAGCTCGGGGAGGAAAGACATGAAAGCTGAACCGGAGGAAGTTTAGAATCTTGATGCAGAGCTACGAGAATAGAGGGTGAGGGGAAAAGAAAAGGGGAGAAAGGAAAACGTACTAGTATAGAGGCCGTGAATGTGAATAGAGCCTTGAAAGTTGAACGGAGGAAGCCTAGAATGCTAAAGGCAGAACTCAAGGAGAGGAGAGTGGGTGAGAGGAAGGGGGAAAAAGGAGAAAGGAAAAGGACAAGCAGAGTGGTAGATGGCAGAGTGGTAATCTTTTTCATTCATTGAAATTTGAGACTCGGGAGTGAGTTTTGAAATTTGAAAATAAAAAGAAGGAACCTTTTCTTATACTTATTTCCTGGAGCAG